CAGCAAACTAATTGTCCTTACAAGGAGCTTTTAAAAGCCATAAAAAGTGATATAAGATAATGTTTAGACTAACATTATTTGTGGGGAGGAAATGTCTTAGGAATTTAGGAATTGAATGACAATTCCATTTTTGGTGTAAGGTATCTGGTTACTTACATATTTTAATTTTGTAGCAAAAGAATGGAAGCTATCTGCCCCTCTAACCATCGAGATAAAACTAGAACACCTACACTAATATCAGGGAAAGTAAACTTCGAGACAAGGAATCCTACCAGAGACATAAAGAAAGACACTATGCACAGGGGTCCATTCTCCAAGAGGATACTACCATCCTAAACAGGCATGCATTTAAAAGCAGAGCTCCAAAATACATGAAGCAAAAGCCGGTAGAAATGAAAGCATGTAATCAAACCCACAACTAAGGAAATTTCAACACCACTCTCTCAGTGACTGGAAAAACAAGTAGAAAAAAGACACAACAGTATGAAAGGCATGAACCATACATCTAGATGTGCTTGATATTTAGGGCACATACCACCCACCAACACTCATCCTTTCCAAATATACACGGGACATTCATGAAGAATATTCTGGGCCATTCAAGACAAACCTTAACAAATATTTAAGAACGAAATTATATGAAGTACAAATAGAAGAAAATGAGCTGGAGGACGGCAAAGGAATAATTAGAATGATATTGTTATTTGGTTTTAAAGATGAATCCTTAGAGATTTTCTACCTTCTTGCATGCCTATCAATGTCTTACAAAGTATCATTTATCCATTTATAGCAGAAAGGCCTTCCAGAATTTGTTTGACCTTTTGTCTGAAGCAGGTCTCAATTACTGTTTGATCTTTATCTTTCTCCTTCTGTAGGCACCACCCTACTATAACTAGCTTCTGTGTTGCTATAATAGAAAAGGCTCATTGACATATTATCGCTGTACCAATTTTTAACATTTATCGAACATTTAGAGGTACTTAAAGCCCTTCATTTCTGTTTTAAGAGGTAAGGACTACAATCACCCTCATCTCACAGGAGGCACCGAGTGCTCAGAGAATATGCTATCCATCCAGATACACAGCAGTTCATTTTGGATCAAGGTATATTTAGAGAAACAGGCCAATACATCATTAATTCGGACTCTTAAAGGAGGATAAAACTGTCCTAATTCTATTGCAACCCCCAAATCTCAGCAGAAAACAAAAATTCAAAACTCTTTGGAGTGTACGTCCAATTTCCACCACCAATACCAGTTGTCAACTTATGGCTGACATTAAACTCATGATTTTCAATGGCAAATTTGGGGGCAGTAAATCATGCCTTTCTTCCATGGTACCTCCAGGTGAACTTAAAAGACTGCCAACTAGCAGTTGAATACACAACCATCTGTACTATCCAGGGACCCTTTGGAATTCTATCATATTCAGCATTAAAAAAAAAAAAAAGGTTCAACAATTGAAGATTATCAAACCTTCAAGGAAATGAGTGACCATTAGAGGGTTCAAAAGAAGAGGGCTGTGCCCTCTTCCCCATATCTTCAAATATTGGAATGATCAGATACAGGATTTAAAATACACACCTCAATGAAATGCATAAAGAAAGAAAACATGTAATTATGAAAATAAACAGGTTACAGAAATGATCTAAATTACTATGTAGGTATGAAAAGGAATTAGCTAAAAGCACAACATTGGGCAAGTTGACAGATGAAAAATTAAAGAATAGACTAAGCAAGCCAAATACTTGTTACAAACAACTGTCAAAAAATGAGAGACAACAGAAAGAATAATTTAAACACAAGGCTATAAATGTTCCAAAATTGGTGAAAGGCAAAAGTACACAGGTCCCGAAACAAGAAGGCAGAGAAGGTCTTAGAAAAAGAGTCAGGAAGTAAAATAGGTTACCAAATCTACTAGAATGTAAAACAGATTACCACAGGAATGACAATCACACTGGTAACTTCTCTACTTCAAAAATAGGATTTGGAAACCTGGACAAACATGTTCAACAGTATGTGACAAAATAACAGACAACCCAAACCATGTGCTCTGAAAATCGGTCTTTCAAGATGAAAATACAAGACAGACATTTAAAAATAAACACAGACTGGGTTTACCACACATAACAGATGGCCACATAATGTAGCAGGTTAAAAACAACAAATATGTATCATCTCAAGAGATTTCAGTCCACGGTCAACCAGGGGTGCCGTCATCAGAGACCTGACTGGGCTAAGAGGTCGGCTTCTCAGCTCACTCCCATCATTGTCAAACAGCCTCAGTTCCTCACGGACCTTTGGCCGAAGACTTCATTTCTACATTATGTGAGCATCTGCACACATCTGCTCACTTAGCAGCTGCTTCCCCCAAAGTGGGTTATCTAAGAAGGAAAAGAAATATCTCAAGGCAGATGTCAGTCTTTTATAACCCAAGCCTAGAGGTACCATCACATGACCTCTGACAGGTGCTGTTGTTCCCAAACACCAACTCAAGTAAGTCATATGCATTGTATTTTTTGCATATACTGTACCCATACATATAAGCACAAATGATGAAAACAACATGTTTTCCCCCAAAGAGCAATAGCTGTCAAGCCACAAGATTCAAAAAAAGCATTTGAGTCCTAAGCACAAAAAATTAAAACTACATTCATATATATACATACACATTTTAGTGAAGTGTCTGAAAACAAGGCAAAGAGAAGATGTGTAAGTGCATACAGGAATAGCAGACATCTGACTTTCACTTGCGCAACAAGGCTAACAGCAGAATTTCAGGAAGTCACTAGGCAATCTATAACATCTTCAAAATGATGAAAATATGTAACAATCTACATTTCCATATCCAGAGAAAATTCTCTTTTTAGAAATTAGAAGACATTTTAAGAGAAACAAATATTGAGAGTTTGTCATCAGCAGATCTATACTAACAGCAGAACAAAAACAATCCCGGAGTGTAGCTCAGACATAGAAAGAACTGAAAACCCGCACAAAGGATAACTATGTCTTCAAACCTAAAGGGATATTGACTGGATACAGCACGACTAACAGGCTGTAGTGAAGTGAAATTAGTTGGTCTGGCCCTTCTGTGTTTCTAATTCCCACCAAATGAATGGATGGGTCTATGCCAATAGGTTGTGTGGAAGAAGAATAGAGAGGGTTAGTAAGTTTTGCCATTCTCCTGGATATACCAGTGAGTCCTCTGAGAAGCAAGAGGGAGTCTCCCGTGACCATCAAGATAGAAGAGCCACCAGTGGAGTACTTGGGAGATCCCTGTCTGAAGGCGTAGAGGGAGCAGAAGCACCAGAGGCTGGAGCTCCTACATCATGAGACAAAGCAGAGGAGCTGTGCTGAGACCAAGAGGCAAAGAGTAGCAAGCAGACCGTGAGGCAGAATGGCCGACTTCCCTGCCCCTGGAAGGCGGCCAAGGGACCCCGTGGCTGCAAAGGTAAGGGCCAACATGCCTGTTAGCACAGCTAAAAAGCAGCATTTAAAGAACAGCTGTATCCTTAGCATTTTGAGACCTGTTAGTTTCTCTGAGAAACCCCATAATCATGAGTATTTTCTGTGAGTGTAGAGCCATTGCAGTAAGTTATCAAAACCCCGCACAGGAGTAGAAAGTACTGGAATGGATGGTTGGTGTTAGAATAGGGTAAAGAAGAAGGGGGGTGGGGGCATGTCTGAGGCCTGCCTTGTAGCAATTGGTCTGGCTGGTGTGGAGCTAGATTCTCCTTCCCCTTTGTGTTCCCCTGGCACCCGCACCACTATCCTCAAATGTATATTGGGTAGAGAGAATGAAGAATACATGTACAATCGTACTTAAGACAGGGAGGATAAAAGTTTCAGATGAATTGTCCAGTAAGAGGAGTGCAGGTTTAGTTTAGACCTTAGAAGTCATGAGTACATGTTAATCAAAACACACACAACTACAATCGGAAGACCCTTACATCTCAGTTCTTTTTACCCCACACAGTATGCTCATCTTTCAGTCAAAACTTGTCAGGCATGCTAATAGGCAAAAGCAGTCTTAGGAGACTGAGTAAGGTTCAGAACTCGGAGCAGCGCCCATTCTTTCCCTCCCTCCACTCCTTCTTGAGGATGCATTTCACTCGGATGCACTATCCACACAAGACCTTATCTAATTATTTTTGCTTAAATAAACCACATTAAAGAAAATTCCAATAAGAAGAAAAATGGCTTTTATATTTGCTCACAAACTTACCTCTTCTGGTGTTATTTCTCTGCATAGATGGAGATTTCTATTTGGTATAGTTTCCTTTCAAGTCAAAGACATTCACTAATATTTCCTGCTAACAGTACAGTCCGCTTGGTTGGCGTCTTTCAGCATTGTTTTTGAGAGGTATCTTCATTGGGTATAGAATTCCCTGTTTCCTCCGTCAGCGCTCTCAAGGTGCTGCACTCCTGTCCCTGACATGCTTTAGCAGAGTTCTTTTTTTCCTCTGGCTACTTTTAAGAATTTTCCTTTGATACTTATTTCAAACTTTATTATTATTTTTTTTATGATGGCTTTGATGTTCATGGAGGTCTCACTTATTTCCTTCTCTTAGGGATCAATGTCCTGTGCCACTGTATGTCTAATAAGTGAAAACTACTTAACATATATATATATTTTTAGTTAAAGTGAGAAGCTATGTCCACCAAACTAAAACCCAACCCACTGTTATACAATCAACTCTCACAGCGACCCAAAGCACAGAATAGAACGACCATAGAGCTTCCTAGGTTGTAAATCTGTACAGAAGTTCATGTTTCTTCCATGATGCAGCTGGTGAGCTTGAACCACCAACCTCTTGGTTTGCAACCTGCTTTAGCCACTGACTTCCAGGGTTCCGACACTAAGTACCTACAGGACCTATTATATCATCCGGGCCAGAGGCAAAAGTCTAACTTCAAGACTCCCATTTCACCAAGTAACAATTCAGTTTTTGAGCTTGTTTTAGCTTTTAAATTCCATGACAAAATGATCTATGCAAATAAAGAAGTTACTAAAATTGTTTTATTTATCCCCTCCCTATTAGTACACATTATATGCATTCAGAAAAGACAATAGGAAAATATTACAATTGAATGCAGCACGTAAGCAGAACACACTCATATGTATGCCTTCTAAACTTGTTTGATAATGACATAAAAGAAACTTGTTACAAGTCATAATGCTCTAATGATCTATCGAGAAAGGGATCACATTAGCACCCTGTGTGCTTTAATACAAATGTATTCTCTTAGCCACACCAGAAAATGAAGTATTCTTGTTTCCATTTCTTTAAGCAATTATTAGTATGGTTAATTATTAAATATACATATATGATTTTTCTATCACTTTGGAAAACCAAAAAGCTAGTAAGCTAGGTTTTTTTTGTTTAGTAAATATTTTCATCTAAAAAGTAAAAATTGAACATGAGTGTTGTATTCAAAGAACATCGTTTAAATCTTTGGGGACAAAGAAATAGGAAAACCAGCAGCCCTCCTAATCTCACACCACAGAGAAACCACAGGCCACAGCAGGGAGATGCAGACACCTACCCACTGTGAAAGAGGGAAAGATCATTTTGAAAATGAATTTTCCCAGAGGAAGAAACAGTAAGGCCAGTAATATAAAAATAGTATATATACACACTGTACACAAAGGCTAAGAGAAAGTTAATGACAAACCAAACAATCCACACTTGGGACAGAAAAATAACAAGAACACTGTACTACTAAGTAGCCAATATCAAATGCTCACTGTTGATAAGCCGGGGCATTTTGATTGGAACTTTGTAGTACAACGTACACGTTATGAATTTGTGAGAGAACCCGCAGGCAGGCAGCTGAGGTTGCGTCTCAAAGCCCTTAAGTGTTTCACAGAGGTAAGCGCGTTTAACCAAAAAACAAGTGGGAGCAGAGATGTGACAGAAATGCAAAACAGAACATACGTGCAATAGATATAATTTAATCTGTGCAATGACGAATTCAAAATATTGTCTCGTCAAACGTACAAGTAATAAATAAGTCATACTTGACCACCTTGTTAACAGAATAATTACTAACCAAGCCTCGGCCTTATGATCCTGTTGCTCAGAACCACCAATTGCCATTTTGGAATTACTTTGTCCATAAAAATAGAAAGCATATCAAATTTTTTAGTTATCAAACACCTAAAAACATCTTGGAAGGCAATCTGTCAAACAAAAATAAATCCGTTGTAAAAAGATGATTAAGAAGTATACATAATCAATTACTTAACATACTTTTTTTTTCTTGTGAGAAAGGGCACTTAGTGTATAGCTAGTTTCCAGAAAATAAAGATCCTGCTGACTTTCCTATTACATATTGTATACAGGTTCCATATGGTACAGTTTTTAATATAAAAATAAAATACTTTTAAGTCAGAGAAGATGAAATAGCAATTTGCATAAAAGTCCATCATTACCCTTTTCATGAAAACAAAAGTTCCCAGAGGCCATAAAAATACTAATTTTGTTGCCAAAAACATCGCAAATCACCAGTGAAGCTGTGCACCGACAGATCAGTAGTGAGCACGGAGTCGTTTGTTCTCTTCTCGGAGCCTTTCGATTTCAGCCACCAGCCCTTCGTTCACCGAGTATCTTTCCAGCAGAGAGTGCATTTCATTCTGTAACAGGCAAGGGGCGTCCTGGTCACACTACTGCCACGTACCTGGCACGCTCAATTTTAGGTACACGCTTAACTATCATTTCTCTCAAATTTACTTCACTGGCTAGTGATGTGTGTTGCACTAAGCCACCCTTACTACTATGTTAATATAAATGAAAGCTCACGGGGGGCATTCACGTTCTTGAGAGGGGAGCTGCTGGGGGGTCAAATTGGGGACAGCCAATGATAGGTTAAAACAAGCATAAGCAATTTATGTCAATTTTATTTTTCTGTTTCTAAAATTTCCTTATTTACTTAGCTGGACAACAAGAGTAAACAACGAAGTAAAAGCATGATTTGCCAGATCCACACACCTATTTAAAATGAGGTGTCATACATACCAACTGCATGTGGAACTGCTTAATCATCTCCACCTGCAAATTCACAATGTCCCGATGGCATGCTTCTCTGGGGAAGGATGGAACATACTTGTTAGAATTTTAAGTACTGCTAATTTTAGAACATGTAAGAAATCGATGGAACGGTTTTCATTGTTTCGAATTACTGTATGTTAACCGTTAAGATTGCAAAGTAAAAATAACACCTGACATTTATTTACTATAACCTAGTCACTGTCTCTAGATATTTT